TATCGAGCCATATATAGGCGAATCTTCCAGTGCGAGTGTTAGGCCTCTGTGGCGCGATTGTTTCTGCAACAGACCGAATATCTATAACCCTCTTTTGTGAGGACTTGGGTTCGATTCCTACCAGAGGCTGATCTCTCAATCATTATAAAGAGTTTTATTGATATTACCAAGATTTGCATAGTTCTCATGACATTATAAATTCAAAAATGCCTTAAACTCGATTTTTAATGATTTTGTAGCTCACTAGATTCATGATATTTTTGTTGGACACACCAGTGTCCCATAACAACCCCCCCTTCAAAGAAACAAAATATTTTAATCACTGGTCTCGTGTATTCATCAAATTTATTCGCAAAATTACACCATCTCTAAAATAGCACAGTCATCGATCAAAAAAAAAACATTCAGCCATAGCGAAAGAATAATCTCATGCGGAAAATCACACAGGATACAAAATAATCTAAATAACATAATTATTTATGACTCATTAGGCAAATTTTCCTCTCCCGCTTCAAACTAGAATTCGAGGAGAAAGCACTTCGTCATCTGTGAAGTTGATAACAACCAACGGCACCGGCATCAACAACAACAATCTATAAAATATACATATTTTTTTGCTATAACAGTAATGCATAGTCATTGATAGCAATGGTTGAGTCTGAAAATTGAATTGAACTGTAATTTAATTTGAAATCTTTGTGAAACGAGATGAAATCAACAATGAGATTGTTGCGGAATGGGGAAGCGAGAAATGAGGGCGAAAAATTGACGTCCTTCAAAACATTTTTTTTTCTCTGTCGCATCCACATTCGAATGCCGTTAATTTAATGAACATTGCTAATTATTTTATAGTAGAGCTCGACTGCACTTCAATCATCTGAGCGAAGAAAAAAATAGTTGTGGGTATCAAATTGGGTTAGATGCCTTCATTCAATGTGTCTTTCGTGTTTAGAATACTTTTTTGTAGCTGTTCATTTATTTTGTTCGTTTGTCTTGTGGAATGCGAGTTAATTAATGAAAGGAAAGGAATCGATCAATGTTTATTGATGTTTGGAAGTTTATTTTGACTGCGAGGGTGTTTTCAGAGTAGCTTGGATAGTTGTAACTATATGTCATACTTGTTTGTGAGCTATCAAAGACAATGTGGTAAGAAGATGACATCAAAAATCTCATTCTGTTGATGTGTTGAATCAGAATGGAATTAGTCATGTAAAAGTTAATTTTCCAAAGCTGAAGTGAGGTTTTAGTAGCAAAAAGAAATAGGAAACAGATCGGAAAGCTAAGAACTTCTGATTGCGAGGATCCTGAATAGCACAAGTCGGTTAATCGAATAGAAATCCGGTACCAAGTCGGCATGATTCTGGCATCGTCCTATCTTTAATTTAAATCCAGCAATTTGCTAGATTCACACCGGCTTGGTTCCGGATTTCTGATCGTTGAACCGACTTGTGCCATTCGAAGATGCAGGTTTGATTGCTCGTAGAATTCAATCATTATGTTGATCCTTAAAACAAGCAAAATATAGGTTGTAGAAATCAACGATCAATGCTCGAAACTAAGAATGAAAACAGTTCTTGCTAAACTATTATTAGATTCTCTATAATCATCCAATAAGTTCACCAGTTCCTCCTTAGACATGCTATTCTTTTTGCGAAACTTCAAACAAAAAAATATTTTAACTCTATCTTCTAACTTTCCTATCTGCTCAACTAAAATTTGAATAAAAATATTTTTTATTTCTTTTTAGCGCATTTTTGAAACTTGTTTCAAAAAGGTAGCTTAATAACGCACTTTGGTCGGCTGGTCGGCTGGTCGGCTGGCTGGTCGGCCGCTAAGAAAAACTTTTAATCTAGACATCGTAGAGAGTTCTAGTTTTTTGCATTAGTTCCGTTATATCGAGTTATTGGCCCGCCGGACATTTAAAAATCTTAAAACAGTGTATTTATGCTATAATTAATGAATTTTTGTTTTGTTTTCAGTGTAACCTGCTCAAATTTTATTTTACCTCTATAATTTCAATATTACCTCTATAATTTCAAAAAATTTCTAGCCGTTGTAAAATTTGAATTTCAAAAAACCGTTAAATGATAAACTTTTTTTGTATGGAAATTCATTGCAACAAATTGTTTAATTATACTATAATTAATTTTTTCGTAGTGCAACTTTTAACGGCAAAATTTCAAATTATTTACTGACCGTTAGAAAATTTGAATTACAAAAAATCGTTAAATGATAAACCCTTTCTGTATGGAAATTCATTGCAACAAATTGTTTAATTATACTATAATTAATTTTTTCGTAGTGCAACTTATAGCGGGAAAATTTCAAATTATTATTATATTGACCGTTAGAAAATTTGAATTACAAAAAACCGTTAAATGATAAACCCTTTCTGTATGGAAATTCATTGCAACAAATTGTTTAATTATACTATAATTAATTTTTTCGTAGTGCAACTTTTAACGGCAAAATTTCAAATTATTTACTGACCGTTAGAAAATTTGAATTACAAAAAATCGTTAAATGATAAATCCTTTCTGTATGGAAATTCATTGCAACAAATTATTTAATTATACTATAATTAATTTTTTCGTAGTGCAACTTATAGCGGGAAAATTTCAAATTATTTACTGACCGTTAGAAAATTTGAATTACAAAAAATCGTTAAATGATAAATCCTTTCTGTATGGAAATTCATTGCAACAAATTATTTAATTATACTATAATTAATTTTTTCGTAGTGCAACTTATAGCGGGAAAATTTCAAATTATTTACTGACCGTTAGAAAATTTGAATTAAAAAAAACCGTTAAATGATAAATCCTTTCTGTATGGAAATTCATTGCAACAAATTATTTAATTATACTATAATTAATTTTTTCGTAGTGCAACTTATAGCGGGAAAATTTCAAATTATTTATTGACCTTTAGAAAATTTGAATTAAAAAAAACCGTTAAATGATAAATCCTTTCTGTATGGAAATTTATTGCAACAAATTGTTTAATTATACTATAATTAATATTTTCGTAGTGCAACTTTTAACGGCAAAATTTCAAATTATTTATTGACCGTTAAATAATAATCCTTTCTATATAAGCATTCATTGTAACTTTTTGTTAATTACACTAAAATTAATGATCTTCTAATCTTCTCATGATCTGTAAATGAACGCAAAATAATTACATAATCAAATACTGATCGCTAACACAAAAATGCGCTTAAGTCCCTCGATCAATAACACGAGGACTTCTGTAATTTTTTTTTATCATGTCTTATGTTTTATGCATCAAAAAGAAAAACAGGGAGAAAATTCATTTCTTTCATTGAAGCTAATTTGCATATTATTTGCACAAACGGAGAAATCATAACAAAAGAAATTCCTGCTTCCAATTTTCTATTTAAAAAATTTTATTTTCATTTATAAAAACAAAATAATAATTTTTGCATTTTTTTGCAAACTCGCGTTATTTAATTTTTGTGTTGATATTTAGACGCTGCATACGTAATGTTGATAAAATAAGCAAAAAATGAAAACTTTTAAATGTTTATTTTAAAAATATTTGCTTTTTAAGTTCATTTAATAAGAATAATTTTTCTCTTTTGATGTTTTAGAAGTTTTGAAAAACAATTTTTTGAATTGAGATAAGATTTCTAAGAGAAGGTTGAGTATGTAGGCTGAACAATAAATATTTGAGATTTCTGGAAGGATTTTGGGCTTATTAAAGAGGCTGCATGGTTAAATTCGATGATTTTCAAAGATGCTTACACAATTCACATCTAAAGTAATTTTACACCAAATTCTCAATTTAAAACCCAATGACTCATAAAAAAGTCTGTCATAGAATCTAGAAAAAATCATAAAAACAACAATTCACTTCAAAAGCCAACAAACTCATTTGTTTAGAAATCATCCAACTTATTACTCATGCATCATAACTCCGTTACAAACCCAACGTCAAAGGTTAAGTTAAAATTCCACAAAATCATACAGCAAGTCATTCAAAAATCACATCGAAGTTTCGTGAAATTCTCTGAAAAAAAGAATCTTAAAGCTCAAGTTGTGAATCTTCATGAAAGACAATCATAAAAGTTTTGAAAGAAGTTGAAGAAGAAAATAAGAAGCAACAACAGAATTCCTCGTGAGGATTAAACACAAAATTTATATGCTTGATAATTTCTTTTGTCTCTCGTTCTTAAAATAACTTGAAGTTTATGTCTGATGATGATTTTGTCAGAATCTTAGTGATAAACTTTTAAGAATGAATTGCAAAGCCACAAGAAAGTAGTCGAATTTCTTCTGTCCCCTTTTGTCCTTAGAGACCCAACTGCCTCTGTCCCATTCTAAAAGCTTAAAATTTGAAGTCTAAAGTTAATCTGACTCAGAATCATTTGATGCATTTTGTTGCAGCTATTTTATAAGATTTTAAATAAAAATTCTCCGAAAAATTCATAAAAAGTCACTCAAAAATCCACCAAAAAATCTGACACAAAAATCCCCATCAGCACAAAAGAAGAAGCTAACAAAAAAAGAATTAAGAACAAGAAGTTTGTGAATAAATAAAAATTATTTAATTTTTTATAGCTTTTTGAATGCTTCAAGTCAAAAGATGAGAATGACTCAGAGTGTTCTTCATCTTTACAGTATAATGGCGCGTGGCTATATATTACTATGATTATTATAATGTTTAATGTTGATGATCCTCAATAAAAGTTACAGTTTATTATCGATTTTCTACTCTTTGTTCACTTTATTCTTGAGATGATTGGTGTTGGCATCAATCTTTAAATTATTATTACTTTTATGATAGGAAGAATTTTAAGTAGAAATTATTGTGGATTTTAATGAGGGGACGTTCAATAATGACATCCAAATTAACGGGAATTTTCAAAAAGAACAATGGATTTCGAAGAATTTCTAATGTTGTTTTCTTGTTGACCCCCCCCCCCCCCCCCCCCCCTCTGACCGTGAATAGCTCCTGCGTCAATTTTTTAAAAATAATAATAATTTTAAATTTTTGAGAAATTTATTTTTTTAGTTTTGATTTTCAAGTTTTAATCATATTTTATAAAAATGTCTTCAAAGTTTTTAAAAACTCCACAGTTTCCACACCTTAACGGTCTACATTCTTAAAAAAGTCTTTACTCAAACTCATCAGGTTTGTATGATCTCACACTTTTTCCAAATCTTCCATTAACGTTAGATGATACATAGTAGACAGGACCGAGATCTGATGTTCTTGGCTTTATGTCATCATCATCCTTTTTTGCTGTTCTTTCTGCTTGACGAAAATTCATTATGATAAAGGAAAGACAAAGAAGACAAAAACAGAAAGATGGAAAAGAAATTTTGATTGAAGATGATGGAAAATCTCACCTGGCACTTGATCTTTGTCACTTTCTGTTGTCTGGTATGCATCTTCACTGTTTTCTGTTGTTTCTTCATCTTTTTCTGTTGTTGGTCCTTCAGATTTTTCTTCTTTACTGATGACTTTTTCTTTTACAGCTTCTGATTCCACGTTTTTTTGTTGTGGCTCCTCAACTTTGTCTTCCGGCTTTTCTAATTTTTCCTCTGGGACTGAAACTTTCTCCTCTAATTTGTCAGATTTCTTGTTGTCTGTAATTTCTTGTGGTGATTTTTCAATGCTCTCTGGTTGCTCTTTTGTGTCGTCATTTGATTTTGGTGCTTCTTCTGTCAGTTCTTCATACTTTTCAGTCACAACATTCGTTTCGTCATTCAGTTCTTGTGGCTTTTCAGTCACATCTTCAGACATCTCAGTGCTTTCGACATACTTTTCAGTAATAATCACCTCAGATTCTTCCTTAGTTTCTAGCGGCTTTGCTGTGGCAAATGAGGCAATGACTGTGACGCAAATGATGAGATGCAGAAAAATCTAGAAGTAAAATTAACTATGATTAGTAAAAAAATTAAATTAACAAGCATTAAGCATGTCATGACAGGGTCTAGTCATTAATTATAAGGTAATATTTTCTACAATAATCTGCAGTTAATCACAATAGCTGAGTATGAATTTAATAGATGAATAACCGCGTAATGTGATTTGCTAATTTAGTAAATTATGAATACAAGATAATCTCTGTGAAGTATTTGGTTGTGGCCAATTAACTTATGGCTAAGTTTGATGCTAGAATATTTGATGATTTAGATGTTTTGTTGCCGATTGATGCTATTGTAATTCAGCAAAAAAGTAAAAAAAAATCTTTGGATTGAATTTTGAACTTAATAATCAGGCACGAGCCGGTTTCTACAGTTTTTCAGGGATTAAATTTGACTTTAAGACTCCAGCTATCTTTAGAAACTGATCCTAGTTGAATGAAATATTTTCGCTTCATTTAATCAACCAAAATGCAAGCAACTGAACTCGAATAGGTCAACGACACTTTCCCCATGACCCAATTCCTCCACTTAATTAAGAAATATCATTTCCGAATCATTATTGTCCAAATTCTTTTGCACATTCATTAAGGACGAAATATAAATCCATGCACAAGAAATGTCACAGTCCTCTCTCCGAAACGTCACATAATTAAATAAATAAACAATCCAAGATACGGATCTTATTTCTCAATTAATTTCATGCCATTATTATCGATACACACTTATTGGGCAACAACAGTAAGTCGAAAATTCAAAATGTTAATACACATTTAATTGGCAATCCAAATATATTCACTGATTTATTAGCACAGACGATTCGAGCTCTCATTGTTAATTAATCAAGAAAATAAGGAAGGCAACAAAGAAAAACTCTTTCTTTTGCAATGGTGATTAATTATGTGCTAATTGAAACTTTTTCGTTGATACTCAAGACGATAGATTAAAGATAAATGTTGTAACTGAATATTTTGTGTGTCAGATTTTGAGATTTATACAGTTTCTTATGGAAATTAATTTTGAATTTATTGATTGTTTAATCGATTGGATTAAAGAATTAAATTTGTAGGGACAATGAACTTTTGAGTATGTTTTTTGGCGTCGCTTCCCACGTAACCATAAGTCGACGAATGGAAGATTTTATGTATTACATCAAAATCTTCCATGTATGTTCCATATGTACATTCCATGTATCGTACATTGGACATTATGCTAATATGAAAAGGGACGATTTTTAGTCGATTTTACGTCGATTTCACGTCGATTATTTTTTTGAACCAAAATCAAATTTTTTTCGACCGTTACAATATAAAAACCGATTAACGGAAAAATTTTGAATTTTTTTTACATGAAAATATTTTTTGTTAATTATACTTTAATTTGTAGACAAAATCCAAAAAAATTAATTAAGGATTTTGTCTTTGAAAAAAAGAGTCAAAGTCTTCATTTAGATGAATAATTCGCTTGTAATTAATTTAATTAATTAATCACACTTTGTATGAAAATTTGGCTGTGCCTTATATAAGTGATTTCTGATTGCACTTGTGAAGTATATAGCGGCTCAAGAAAAACGAATGTAATGGATGAAAAATCGACGTCTATTGGATCATCCAAAAAATTGTACATTTAAGTCGATTTTTTCATTGACGGCGATTTTGGTTACGTGGGTTTGTAAACATGGAATTTTAATTTAATGTGTTTTATTTAATTTATGCTAAACTATGTTTTTGGTAACCCTATCCTCTGAACTTTTACAAAAGAAGTAGAAGTAAAAGAACTGTTTCAATTTTTAATGAGGTGAGCATTGTGCGAATCCTTGTGATATCGACAACACTCTATAAAATAATTGAGAAAATCTGTCTCTAGTAGGAATCGAATCCACATCATCACAAAAGAAGGTTACTGATATCCGGTCTGTTGTTTAGCCACTCGCGCCACAGAAGCCTAACTCTAACACTGGCAGATTCGCCTTTGTATGACTCGATACCCCAGATTCCACTTTGCCCGGACACCACACAATTATTAGAAAAAAATAATTCAATATTTTATTACAGACACAAATAATAAGCTACAATTGGAGCAAATGGCATCTGATTTAGTAAATTTTTGTCAATCTGCTATTGTTTTAGATCCCTTCGAATGACCGTTCCTCTTTGTCATACCAAAACTGATATTTCTTTTAAAAAAATGCTCTCAACTTTTACAATTTTGACTTTAAAAATTTGATTTGGCACAATAGATTTTTTAAATAATTTTTTATAAATTTATGATTTAAGGCTTCCTCATACTTTCATTTTAAGATCAGTTAAAAAAATTCACAATTAAAATTCAAATTATTTTTAAAGCTTAAACTTCAATCCACACAGTCTTCAACAATTAATTTCAAACAAAGACCAAAATAAGGAACGTAAAATAAAAAATTCTTATGAGCTTGAAACTGTTTCGAATGCTGAAAAGATACTGGCATGTATGATCAACTATAGCGAGAATCATAAAACGAAACTGTCTAGATTTGGAGATTTTGTTGCTGTATTCAGTATTTTTATTTTATTTTATTTGTTTTGTTGTTGCGATTTTAGCGCGCGACGTGTGAACCTGACCCGACACCTGTTTGATTTTGAATATTGCTAATGAGAAAGAGAGAAAAAAATATAAATAAATAACTATATGGAGAGACTCAGGCAACTATAAAGAGGCGTTATAGCTAATTATAGGCACATATAAAAACAATCATTAAAATGAATGTTGAAATTCATCAATTTTGTATATTTTTTTCTACATCATTATTGGATTGGAGAGACAAGAAAATAAATTAAAATATTTAACTCAATCAATCTCTCGTCAGCTTTTTATTCTGTTTTATGTACCGACTGTCAATAATGAATTTATTTGGCAAAAACATTTGAAATTAAATTATTTTGAGACCAATATGTGCTTTAGTAGCATGAAATCAGCGTGAGTTAAGACTTCACATGCATGTGTAATGTGATCATATATATATATAATGTGTGAAGGGCCCAGCCTTTCAGCTGGAGGCACTGCGATTCAAATTAGAACAGAATCTATTGTACCACACCCTTTAGACCTACAGTTTATAGTGGGATCCGAACCACTTGCAAGCTCTGTACATTGCAAAGACACGAGTACGTCATAAGACCTGATGCACCCTGCAATGTACCTAGTCACAATCCGTGTGCGCAAGATGCCGTAAGGAAGTCATCCAGATGCTAGTATATCCTTGTATACCTAGCAAAGGAGGCATATTCTATGTGATCATAGGTTCGAGCCTCAGCATGACAATTTTCCATCAAAATGTGCTTTGAATGCAACTAAATCTAGTTTGTTAAAATTAAGATTTATCTTTTGAGATCGTTGATGCCTAACCCGTGAGCACCAAAAAATTCAGAAAATTCCACGAACCATATGCCGTGTGCGATTGCGGTCATGGTGCCACAAAGGATTGCTGTGGAACATCAAAGTTTGGACACTACTTTGTAAAATAGTTTAAGAATAGCTTAGTGATTTCTGGAGATTTAATTAGGATGTGCTAGGATTCTTTGGTTAATCTTTAGCATTAAGCCCAGTTTTGCTTCAAAATTAATTTTCGAACTTGATTTTGTTTCTTATTTCATTCATTTATTTACTTTGTCTTGTAATAATAATAAATACAATAGGAAGACCGAAGATCTCGTGGATTGGATGTGTTAAAAAGGACGCTAGAGTCCTTAATATTCTGAACTAGTAGAAGTTTTTTAAGGATAGAGCTGTCTTCAGACGATCTCTAAGCGCGGCAATGGGCCCACGTGCGCCCTACTCAAGAAAGTAAGTAAGTCTTACAATAATAAATTCTAAAAAATCAAGTTATCAAATAAATAAGCAGTTCTTTACAATGAATGAATAAAAACACCACAAAATTAGTAAGTGGAATTTCTCTCAACAAATTTGAATTTAAAGCTAAGCTAATTAGTTTTTTGGGGAATTTTTACTCAGTAAGAAGAAAATATTATCGTGTCTTACTTCATAAATTATTCGCATCACATTTCAAACTTGATAATCAAATTCGTGGCTGTCTATACAAAATTTATGTAAAGAAAGAAGAAGAAAAATTGAAGTTTAGGAGAAATGATGAGTAAGAATGAGAATTAGATATTGAACAAGTATGAACGGACTTTTAAGTGATTTATTGAAGAAAATTTTTTATTTTAAAACGGCAATTTTAAAGACCTCATATCAGGGGCGTAGCCAGGAATTTGAAGAGGGGGGACAAAAAATATTTTTGTATGAAAAAATTAAAGTGGGGGGATTTGTGATTTTTTCATAAAAACCCTAGCAATATAAAGAAATTTCTGTTTACGTTGAGGGATTTTTCCCCCAAATCCCCCCCCCTTGGCTACGCACCTGCCTCATATCAATGCCACTCAATTTTTATAGCGTTATACAGATCTTAAAACATTTTTTGACATCATTTGTTAAACACCCCAATGGACATTCCATTCTTGATTTAAGCTTATATAAAACCTAGTCAAAAAAATCTCCAACATTCATCAATTCTATTGAATAATTATTTACCAAATTCCCCATCCATTATATCCAACAGATTATTTCTCTATTAATTCACCAAACTGAAAATAAATAAATACATGAATAAAGCTGTGACATCCACAAAACCTAATTTATCAATTACTTAATTCATTGTCATTTTACATTGATCTGCCCAGCCCATATCTATCTACTAATCCCATCATCCATCTATAAGCTATTATTATTCGAACTGTACATTATATCACATGTGATTGATCATTACATCTGATGAATAAATAAAATATACAGGCTTAAGTATATAGAGAGAAAAAAATGCCTGAAGGACGTCAATAAAGCATATTTTATTTTTTTAATTAACAATTCAATTAATAAATTGCTATGGCTGAGAGATCTTAATAAATCTGCCATTTTTTTTCGAAACAAGTGATAATGGTGTGATGATGTAAAGGGATTAGCAGCAATCATCGTACAGCTGTTGAAAAGATGAATTAATAGTAATTTATATATTAATATATTTTTTGGTGAATTTTTCATGGACAGGTGATTCGGTTAAGGATGAGAGGACATCGCTTAATAATAATGTGTGATGGGCCCACCATTTCAGCTGGAGGCACTGCGATTCAAATTAGAACAGAATCTATTGTAAAACACCCTTTAGACCTACAGTTTATAGTGGGATCCGAACCACTTGCAAGCTCTGCACATTGCAAAGACACGAGTACGTCATAAAACCTGATGTACCCTGCTTCGTGTGCGCAAGATGCCGTAAGGAAGTCATCCAAATGCTAGTATATCCTAGCAAAGTATTACCTAGCAAAGGAGGCATATTCTGTGCCTGTGATTAAAGGACATCGTTTGATGTTTTGGTAAATTTCTACCCAATTTTTGTCTGTTTATGCTACTTCAATATTTGAATGCCTTCACAACAGCTTAATAATCATCATATTTACCCAACTTAGTCAATATTGTAAAAGTCAAAACAACCAAACCAAATAGAGCGGAATTAACAACTTCTATCACATGTCCTTTAATCACTAAATCATTCAACATTCTCAAACTCCTCATAAAGATACGTAGCAGTAAAAATACTTAAATTGCAAGACAATTCAAAACAACCTCAAAGCCATTCATCCGATTTTATCACACACAAGTACAAATTTATGCTTGATATCACTCGAAAAATCAAAGAATTAAAATTCACCATCGAATTTGACTCGCTTGTTGAGTCCACAGCATTACAAAATCACAAGCACATGCAAAATATCCATGAAAATTCACTAATTGTAACAAAGCCACACTTTCTCAACATGATAGACATACGAAATCATCAATCAATGACAGATAAAATAAACAAGTTTAAATTGAATTTTGCAACATAAAATATATATCTACAAATTTTATTTCTTCATCAATACTACAATGCATACACATACATCCCATCCATTTCATGTACACGAATTATTTTTGGCTAATGAAACTGCAGTGAACTTTACGATATGTCAAATTGGAGAATTTTCCTATTTGAAAATGTAAACATACTGCTGATCAAAGTCAGTTGGTACTGGATATTGGAAATAGAAAATTGGTTGTGCTTGCTGTTGGACACGTTGTAATTGTTGTTGCTGTGTGGCAATTACAAACTTCTGTGACTTCACTTTTTGACGACGTAATTGTGCTGCTCGGACATTTTTCAATTGCTCAGCCTGTGGATTTGTGGTTGTGGCTTCTTCGGGTTGATCAGTTGATTCCTCAGGTTGAGCAGTTGTTGTTGGCTCCTCAGCTGGTACTCCATATTCAGGATTTGGTGTAGTAACTTCTGGTTCGGGTTCTTCAGTTGTTTCGGTTGGTGGTCCATAAGTACTATCAGGTTTTGGATAGTTGTACCCGTTGCTTGGTGGTGCCTCTTCTTGTCGAGCAAATACGGAAACTCGTACTTTACCTGGCAGTCTCAAACGTTGGGATTCTGCTGGTGGTGCATAGCTATAACCCGGCTTATCATCAACTGGTGGTTGCTCATCGGGTGTGCTACCAGATTCCTCAACTTCTTGTCGTGCAAACTTGAAACTTTTGAAATTAGAACGTCTTCTTGGTGGCTCGGCGACAGCACATGCTACGACACATGCAAGTAACAAAATTGTCTTGAAAGTATTCATTATGTGTGAATTGTTTGATGATTGAAAGCTGATTGATGTCTTATCAACACCCTCGCACCTGCTTTTATACTATACTCATTGGTCAACATCCTAAGCACGCACAAACTAAGACAATTATCACGAATCATATTCATTTATACAAATTTAGGCTACTTAATTATTCAATCGGCATTCTTTAAATCGGTAAGAATGTCCAATTTTGATATTTTCATTAATATTAGTTTTCTTTTTAGCAGTTTAGCATGGACATAGTTTAAGTATCGTGCTTTTTGTTTGTTTTATTTCTCATTGACATTGACCGAGTTTATTACTTTTTTGTAGTTGAATGACACTTGATTTTAATTTAATTTGATTATTTTTGGGATGCAATAAAACTCACAACAAGGAAAACATTTAATTTTATGGTGCGCTGCATTTTCTGTGCTGTTTTTGGGGTTTAGTAGTTTATTGTGGAATCATCTCACGTGTCCTTGAACCAAAGTCACCGCATGTTGTCGCAAAGATTTTTTTTTTTTGTTGAAATAATCAAACAGCTTTTCTGTTTTAATCTGTCGGTTTTTTTTGGGGATTATTTTGATTCTTAAAAGAGGCTTTGGGGTATTTAATTTTGGTATTTATTCCGAAATCTTTACTGACACTGTTTTGGACTCTTTAAACTATAAAGAACTTAGTCAGTGGCTTGGAATAGAATGGGTTGGGGTTATAGGTAGCGCTTAACTATTGACTACTAGAACAAGATGAACTTATGGAGTCAAGGTCCTCAACATTGGTTCCTCTTGCTCATCTTCATGTGTACTATCATCGCAATTCTCATACTTAAAACACTTAAGTTCCTACCAAAATCCCCATCAATAGATTCCTTAAGCTAACCATCTTCTAATGCTATTAACTTAATACTTTATATGCACATAGTCTGTTGATGAATAAGAACAAAAGAAGTCAAACACAAAACAAAAGTTTTTTATTCAATTCTTAATTCCCTCACAAAAAAAAATCTTCATCTTCTTTTATTGTGCTTAAAAATAGACAAAAAAAAGGCATTGATAGAATAATGACGTCAAAATCGAAAAAGGAAATTCATCAATATTTATGTTGTATGTGATACGGATGGAAGCAAAGATAAATATCCAACTTTTTAGAAAATAAAGAAGTTTTTGGAAGTGGGCATTTAAGGTACGGATTAGAAAAGTTGAAGACAAAAAGTTTTTTAAAGAAAAGTTTATCAGGAAATGAAAAATTCATCCATTGGAGATTCAGGTCCATTAAGTGAGTTATGGTTGGCAACTGATTAAAGATTTGTGCTTTTGTCAAACTAATTTCTTAATTCATCAGAATCAAATTCAAGTGGGATTTAAAATTAATTCTCGACCACATAAAATTGAACATGGGCAAGACCGCGAAAAAAGTGAACAAATATTGAAAGTTGATTCACTCAGAGTTTAGTTATTCAATCGTCACAATTCTTTCAGTGGCTTATAGCCAAATATAAAAACTGAATTTTTAACCCAATAATTTTAAAATGGCGACTTTATAAGTTAGTTTAATTTCTAAATCAAACATTCAAAGTGATTTTTATCCAAGAAGGAAGCTGTAAAAGGAGCTGATATGTTCATAAAAGTTGTTGAGAATCTTATTTTCTTTCATTTATCATACACACATTTTCAAATTAATACACAAAATTAGTTAAATTAACCAAAATTGATTTTACATATAAATTTAATGAAATTTTCATTATTGTCCCTCAAAAAGCATTAATTAATGATAAATTACAACTTTCCTGCAAGAATTTACTGCAATAAAGCCTTCTAATTTAGTTAATTTAACCAAAAGTTTATTTTACAACTCTTTAATCAAGTCAAAAATTTAAATTTTCAAAAACGGTTGAAAATTTTTGTTTAAAGTTTTTAAAGTTTTTGCTTTTTTCTTGTTCTATAACATTATATTGTGATATATTTTGCTAAAACTAAGCATATTTGATGTATAATTATCATTTTACATCATAAAATTAAAAGAATATCTATTCAATTGCCATTTAAAGGCAATTTTACAAAATGACCAAAAAAAGTTAATTATACTACTTTTTTCAAAAATTTTTGACTTCTATCATAAAGCCAAGGTCTAAAACTATATTTGTGTCAAGAAAAAAGTTAAGTAAGTTAAAAATTGATAGTAAAATATAGGAAAATAAGGTTAAAAATATTAATTAAATTAACTTATTAAGTCGCCATTTTATTTTTATTACTTTTTAATGATAACTGTAGTTTTAAACTAACTATTGCTGAAAAAACTATCGAAATCGGTGTAAAACTAAGCGAGATAGACTAGTTTTAGTAAAATTTCAAATACCCTTCCCAAAAATTCAGTGTCAGATTTTGCCTATTTTCAGGCTCTACAGCCTTAAGTATAGTACTTCCAATAAAAAGTTACATACCAAAAGATAGGCATCAAAAAGTTCTATAAAACAGTATGTTTAGTTTTACTGTAAGTATTTTCGTTACAGAGATATAAACGAAATAATAGCAAAATCTGACACTTAATCGAAAAACGGTCTTGCCCACATATTTCAAAAAGCAGCACACAAAATTTAATACAATTTAAATTATATAAATCACCAGAGCAAGAATGTCAGCAAAAGATTCAAAGTTGATTTACTGTAGGTTGTGTGCTGTCAATCACAGAATCTCAACCGTAAATGGAAGCGTGTGCAATTTAAAATGTTAAATCAAAAGTAAATTCACAAGAATTCAATATGTTCAATTTTTGTTTTAATTCCAAAGTCTCGCACGGTGATGGAAATTGGATGTTTTTTTTTTTGATTAAGAAAGCTGCATGCTTGGATAGAATGATTTGGAATATTATATTTAAATTGAGCATGTTTTGGGAGATGAAGGCTAAGTTATACGAAAATAATGAGACATTTGAGTGATTTTATATAAGCGGAGCAGATTAGAAGAAGTTTCTGTAGAGACGAAGATTTAGACATGGTGATGAATAGATTCAAGTTTTTCTCTAAGAATGACACTGATCCTTAAAAAATGTCGAGAAAGAAGTCCATTCAAAAAGTTTCACTCTGTTAAAAAAATTTTGTTGGGTTTTGAACCCATGACCTCGTCAGTTTTGCAATAATTAGGTGCCATATTCCTTTACCATTAAGCTATTAAGTCATTTCAGATCAAACATTCAAAACAACCATAACAACTTTATCAAATACATTTTTATCCAACTTAACCTCAAATCCTCTATCTCATCCATCCCTTCAACATCAAATCCACATCACATTAAAGAAACATCAAGACAATCTCCCTCCATCTCGCCAAAAAACTATAAATTTTTCATGTTCAGCACGATCGCCACACACAGGCAAGGCAAGCAGCGCCAAAGAATCAGCAAAAAAAAATAAAATAATTTTAATTCTTGTTATCATGTGTGTGTATTCACTGCCTGACGATGTCGAGTACACATGAGAATGAGTCAATGACTTTCAAAGCCACCACAACATTTTGTGTGCGGACTGCCACTGCTGCTTCTATTTCGAGCAATGCGAATCAAGTGTGGAATATTAATTTAACGTTTTGTTACTTTTGTACGGAATGAAATGAAGAGGGAAAAATGTTCAGTGTTGCTGCTTTATATTTCATGACATTCTCTCAGTTTTTTATATTTTGTTTGTTTGGCTTGCTTGCTTGATGCTTTGATGGATTTGGTTTTTTTTAATATGGCATGAAAATATATTTTATATACAAGTTTTTGGATGTGCATTCTACACGACCACATATCATGCATTTTATATTATTTTCATGCAAGATTTGTCGTGAATTTTTTTTAAGGGAGACAAAAAATGTCAAAACAATGTGATGCTGGTGTTTTTACTGTCATACTGTGCTAGTGGATGGATACAAATTTAGAGAAATGTTGATGAATTTTTATTAAAGCTAGTATTTGGTAGTTTGAAATTGTGTAAACTCTAATTTATGAGTTTTTTGGTATAACATTCTTTAAATTTGAATAATGAAGTGAAATGTGGCTAACAGTGATGATTCTGGAAGTTTGTTAACAAGTTGACAAGTCAAGTTTGTTAAACTCTTTAGTCTGAATTCGCAAAAAAAAATATAAAACAAAAAAAAAACAAAGATTTTCAAAAATGTAACTTTAACTTAATTATTAGATATTGTTTTGATTTTTCCAACAATTTTAGGATTTGAACCTTGAGTTGATTATGGTTTTTTAAGTTCTTATTTTTGATAATGACATTAAAATTTGCAATTATCTTATTTGACAAAAAAACAGAATTGAAAATTTTTATATCACACCTTACATACTTTCCTGGTCTCCACTAAAATCCCCCTCAAAAGATTTTTATTTCATAAAAAGCAAAAATTCTCATGCATAAATTTTCTTAACCTGTTTTATCACAATTTTAAAAATTAATCTCCACTCATCTGTGAATGTTTATCTCTTCTGACAACCTTATTGTATCAACAGTACTTATACAGTAATAACTAAAAATTTCTCAACTTTATCATACAAGAGAAAAAAAGCCAATAAAATTGTGTACATTTGGGGGTCGTTCTTATATAACGTCATTGAAAGAATAAAATTTTAAACTTATTCGGACCCCCCAAAATAATCTTTAAACTTGTTACTTAAATTTTGATCTCCCCTACATTCCCCCCCCCCCCCCCCAAATTGTGAACACAATGTCCAATCAACCCCAATTCCATCCCTTAACAAATAAGATTTTTTTTATTTTCTTTAAATCAATCAAGTAAGTCTGTAAACATTTTTCCACTCTGACCCAATTTCACATCAAATTTTCTAATCCACTGAGTGAATGAAGGAAACACATCCATGTATGTAGCAAGTCGAGTGAAAGAAGGAAAAAAAAACAAATTTTTGATGCAATAAGCTTCGACAGCACAACCAGATTAAATTTGAATTTTTCAAAAGGATTACGCAATAAATTCCCACTTTATGCGTACACACAGTACAGTTGATGATAAGGATGGCATAGGAGGGAGTTAAGGGCATGTAAAAATGTATAT